TGCTAATGAGCTCCTGCACCTCTTTTTCTACGAAATGACCCCTGCTTACAGCAACTCCAGAGGGTTTTCAAGGCAAGAGACATTCAGAGGTGGTTTGGCATCGCCTGCCTTTGCATATCAGCCCTGGACTCCCTCGGTGGTCTCCCATCCAGATACTAAAGCCAGTTTGCTGTAATGATTAGGAGCGCGGACTCTAATCTGGGAGAACCGGGTTCGATTCTCCGCTCCTCATGCTGCTGCTGGGTGACTTTGGGTCAGTCACAAGTTCTCTCAGAGCTGTTCTCTCCGGAGCAGTCCTCGAAAGAGCTCTCTCAGCCCCACCGGCTTCCCAGGGTGCCTGTTGTGGGGAGGGGAAGAGAAAGAAGACTGTAAGCTGCTCTCAGACTCCAAGTGAAGGGCGGGGTATAAATCCAATCTCTTCGTCTTCTTCAGTGCTGACCCGTGTTCCCTTTAAGCTGAGTCAGTGAGAGCCAGCTCACAGTTTTTTAGCCTCTGGCTCACCCATTTTTGTCTTAGCTCAGGTAGGATGGACTCCAGAGCAAACTAACATGCAGTAGCCAAATCACTCGCTCACCACTTTCATGCCAGTCGCTCACAAAGTAGAATTTTTGCTCACAAGACTCCACAGCTTAGAGGAAACATTGGTGCCGACCCAGCTTAGCTTCTGAGATCTGAGGAGAGCAGGCTAGCTTGGGCCATCTGTCAGTCCCCCAGAGCGGGAATCTAGAAGTGTGACCTGGTTCCGGTGTAACAATATCTGGACGCATGGTGAGGACCAAACTGGATTGGTGACTCACAGGTTGGTTTCTTCTCCACAACAAGAGGGGTCTATCTGAGCAACGAGAACTTTGAATTTTGGCAGCAGCGTCCTCAAAGCAGGGCAATTTTCCTCGGTCCCAGTGCCCAGGATGTGCATCCGTAGAATTGATTTGAATCTGTTTTTTTTTGGTTTCTTCTCCACAACAAGAGGGGTCTATCTGAGCAACAAGAACTTTGAATTTTGGCAGCAGCGCCCTCAAAGCAGGGCAATTTTCCTCGGTCCCAGTGCCCAGGATGTGCATCCGTAGAATTGATTTGAATCTGTTTTTTTTGTTTTCTGAGTTGGTTCCATTTCTAAGATTTGCATTGCCATTTTATCCATAATTACAATGTGATTTTAATCTGTTTTTATTTTGTATTATGTAATTTTGTATACTGAACGCACTTGGGGCCTTATGTGAGCCGCCCTGAGCCCGTTCGCGGGGAGGGCGGGGTATAAATGTAATAAAATAAAATAAATAAATAAAAATAATAATTGGCTGAGGTAAAACTGGGAGCCTGCATTGGGTGGGGAAATGAGGAGCTACGGGCGAGCGCTCCCTCTAAGCCGTGGAGTCCTGTGAGCCAAAATTCTACTGTGTGAGCTACCGGCATGACAGTGGCGAGCGAGCGATTTGGCTCCTGCAGAAATCAGTTTTTGGTGGCGCCGTCCTTCTTGAGCGAAGACGGAAATGTGTGAGCCGGAGGCTAAAAACCTTTGAGCTGGCTCACACTAACTCAGCTTAGAGGCAACACTGCTTCGGGGCCCAGGTTCCCAACAGCCGCTGACCCTGTGGTTTGCAGCTCTCCGCTTCCTGGATTTTTGTCGGGGACGGCTGGGTTGCATGGAAGCTAGGACCAGCCACCACCTCTACAGGTGCGGGCAGCCTCTGGTACGCTTCTCCCTGGCTACCGCTCTGTTGTCCAAATAGCCCCCGTCGGCAAAACCCGTCGCTGTCGGCCTGGTGTTCACTGAGCCCTGCCTTTAGAACAGGGGTGGCCAGGCCTGCTTAACGTAACAGCCACCTAGAATAAACGTTAGATGTTTGAGAGCCGCAAGACACGTTTTTATTGGGAAACCTGCAGATTTGCTTTTTATGAACGTCAAACGAGACTGCGTGAAAGAGCGGCTCCCGAGCGGCAGTTTGCCCACCTCTGCTTCAGGAGAGAAATCTGCAAGGCAGAGATACTATTTCGGCCTTCTCTGGTCCCTCGAGCCGTGTGGCTGAATTTGTAAGATGCCCTATAAGGCCGAGAGAAGGAAGAAGGAATCCCCAAGAAACCGGGCAGGACTCGACCTCTCCTGAGGGAGACGGTTCTAGGCCAATCAGCTTTTCCTCCGACAAAGGCCTTGGAGGTTGTGGCATCCGCGTCCCCCACCTCCCTCCCTGCAAGGCCAGTGATATCTTAGCACACCGAACAGGTATAAAAGACTTGAGCCAGTGCCTTTGAAACCAGAGGTGTCTTCCTGCCCAGTCTCTCTGGTAGGTATTCCCTGTCTGTTGGATGCGATTTTAGGGGATGCGGTACCTTAGGGTTGCCAGTTCGGTGTAGTGTTTAAGAGCGCGGACTGTAATCTGGGAGAACCGGGTTGGATTCCCCACTCCTCCACTTGCAGCCACTGGGGTGACCTTGGGTCAGTCACCGTTCTCTCGGAGCTGTCCTCTCAAGAGCAGAACCGGGTTTGATTCCCCGCT